AGGAGAGGGCAAAGAGGGGTGGAGACGGCAGTTGCAGCCTACTACGATCGGATTCTTCATTTTGACCAGGTGCGCGGGCGAGCTAGACACGGCCACGGGCCGGTTTTCGGCCCGGAACCGGCCCGAACCGGCCCGTTAACGGCCCAAACCCGCCCGTTGACTGGGTGAACCGGCCCGTCCTATCCGGGACGGGCCCGATTCTAAGAAATGGTGAACCGTGAACCGCCGGGCCGGCCCGGCGGTTCACCGGATTTAAAAAAAAAAAAAAAAAAAATTCAAAAAAATTCAAAAGAAAAAAAGCAAATAAACGCTAGTGAACCGGCCGTTATTTATTTTTTTTTGAATTTTTTTCCTCCCAATTTTTCCTATAAATACCCTCACACCCCAACCCAATTTCTCACCAATTCGATCACAATTCTCTCTACTTCTTCAATATCAAAGTTTAGTAAAGTTCAATTCTCTATTTAGTTTTTGCATTCTCGAATTTCTCTTCAGTTCTTAGTCAAAAAAAAAAAGAAAAAAGTTCTTTTGCATTTTCGAATTTCTCTTCAATTGTTAGTAAAAAAAAAAAATTAAATTCGAAATCTTTAAAATTTTGAATTTAAAATTAAGTTCAAGTCTTTTCATTTATTTCCTTTTCCTTTTTCTGTTTAAAAGTACTTTTAATTTACTTATTCATCAAATATTCCAAAAAACAAAAAAAAAACTCAAAATTTCCGGGCCGACCCGGATAGGCCCGGAATCGGCCCGAACCGGCGGGCCGACCCGGCCCGCTGAACCGTCCATACTACGGGCCGGTTCCGGTTCCGGAAAATGTGAACCGTGAACCGGTTTGAACCGGCCCGAACCGGCCCGTGGCCGTGTCTAGGGCGGCCCACGAGCCTGTTATGGGCCACGGGCCGGCCCAGTCCACGAAGTAAAACTGATGCCCAGCCCATGGAATTATATTGTTGGGCTGGGCGTAGGGGTGTGAACGAGCCGAGCTCGCCTCTTTTGGCTGGCTCGAGCTCGAGTTTATTTTGTCGAGCTCGAGCTCGTCGAGCTCCTCTTTTTTTGGCTCGAGCTTGAGCTCGTGTCAATTTTGTCGAGCTCGAGCTCGAGCCCATTGTCTTTTTTTTTTTTAAATATTTTTTTAATTATTATTTTATTATTAAAAATTATTTAAAAAAATAAAAAATAAAAACTAAATTGTAATTATATATATGTTTTTTTAATATTTGTACTTATTTCTATAATATTTTACATTATTATACATTATTTAAATAAAAATAACATATAAAAATAAAAAAATAATAATAAATCCGGCTCGCGAGCTCATGAATAACTGAAAACCGGCTCGAGCTCGGCTCGTCAGAAAGCTCGAGCTCGAGCTCGAAAATCTCGAGTCCGAGTTCGAGCTTTTTACGAGCCGGCTCTTCAAGCTCACGAGTCGGCTCGGCTCGTTTACACCCCTAGCTGGGCGGGCTGAATCCACGGACTTGTTGCGGGCAGGCTTCACGGACTTGGACTGCGGGCGGGCCGCGGGCCGACGAGCCTGGGCTGAAATTTGTTCATCACTAGGCCAAAGTAAAACCCGGAAGTTTCGAAGCATTTCGGTCATCCATTAACCTCCTCACTCTCTCAGAATCGACATATCTACCAGCACCACAAAATATATTCGACATAAGCACATAGTCACCGCCGTATTCCCTCTCCAGCCCCATAATCTTCGTCGTTACTCTCTCGCCCATCTCAACATTCCCATGCAAACTACAAGCACCTAAAAGTGTTCTCCAAACCACAACAACATTACCGATTTCACTAGGTATGTTTAGAGCCATTTTCTCTGCTTCTTCCAATCTCCCTGCCCTTCCCAACATATCTATCAAACTTCCATAATGCTTTATCTCGGGTTCGATCCCACACTCTTCCACCATTTTTCTGTAAAATTCGATCCCCTCTTCCACCAATCCACCGTGGCTACATGCATTTAGCACGCTCAGAAAAGTAATCCGATTAGGCTTCACTTTCGCGCCCTCCATTTTTACGTAACAATCCGAAGCTTCTGTAGCCAATCCATGCATTGCAAATGCAGATATCATGGACGTCCACGAGACTAAGTTTTTCTTGGCATTACCAATTTCCTCGAAAACTCTCCACGCGCTTTCTATGCTCCCACTCCTCGCGTACGCATCGATGAGGCAATTCATAACACGAACATCCAACACGTTGAGCCCACTTTTCTCTCCGTAAGTATGGACCATTTCGCAAAACTCGAGGCACCCGATATTCCAAATTGATGGAAAAACTGCGAGAAGAGTCACTTCTGTGGGTTTATTATTATTAATTCCATCACCGACAAACATTTCTCGAAACAAAGACAGTGCTTCGTAAAAACGGCTCTTACGAGTGTACCCATCTATAAGCCCCGTCCACGAGACAACATTCCTTTCCGGCATCGAATCAAAAGCAGCCCTCGCAAATTCTATCTCGCCCCACTTGATAAACCCTGTTATCAAAACATTCCACGTGACCAAATTCTTCTCAGGCATTTCGTCGAACACGTTCTTCGCATCAGCCAAACACCCACAGTCCATGTACATATTGACCAGCGCAGTCTGGACATGGACATGATAATCAAACCCCACTTTAGTGCTCGAACAATGGAGCTGGTTTCCGAGGTGGGCCCGTTTCAAATTAGCACAAGCTTTGATGAGATACGAGTACGTAAAGCTGTCAAAGAATATAGGTTTAGATTGGTTTCGGAGATAGCCGAAGAGAGTAACGGCATCTTGTGGGAATGCACTGAGTGAGTAGTGCTTTACAATGGAGTTCCAAAGGGCGAGTATGCCGACGTTGAGTACTAGAAAGTGGCAATGGATTTGCCGAATGGCACTGCTGCAGTGTTGGTGTTTGTGGAGTAGTGAGAGAAGGTGCCGATGGTATAACTTTGTACCAGACATTTTATCGAACATGTGGTGTGCGTTTCATTTGCCAGACAAAACCTTTGTTGTTTATCAACGTGTAAGCAATTTCCATCTTGTTGAACAAGACTATTTAGTTGGCGTTTGGATAATATTTTGCAAATTATCAAATTTGGCTAAATTGTCTTCTACATAAATACTTATTCCAGTTACTTTTTTACAAAATAAATTACATATATATATATATATATATATATATATATATATATATATATATATATATATTTGACAATTAAGGAACCCACAACCAATGATATATGTGCACAGGGTAAAGCTACACTCTTGTATAATAGCTTCGTAAGTCATACGAGAGACGTGAACCTACATTTCTTAATTAACCGCCGAGCCTAAAATATTATAAATTTTCGGTTCTGATTTCGGTCAATGTATATGCAAATAATGTAACGGGGCTAGTAATGCAAGTGATTACAATTGTTTGGAATTATTTGTTTCCTAAAAAAAGTAAAAAAAAAAAAAAAAAATGGAATTATTTAGTATAAAATTTTTCAAGAGTTGAACACTAGTGATGCGGCCATCATACTTGGTGTAGTTTCATTTTGGGTTGAGTTGCCACTGACTCTTCTCAAAGGATCGAGTAAATCGAAAAGCGTTTCCGCTGCAGAAATCTGTTTCTGGCGAAGACTCTCATCATGCATTAAATCCCTGTATACCCAATACAACCCGTTATTTAATATTTCAAGTAATATATTTTTGTCGCTTCAATTATTGCTAAATGTTGACTGTCCTTTCGAACTTTTACAGACGATGAGCATGCTGTTTGTTTCTTTTACGAGCAAAAATGAACGGAATTTAAAAAAGAAAATGCGATGAGCATGCTTACATGAGCAGTGGTGCCAATTGAGAAGGAGTGCAGTCTCCAAAAAGAGCTTCAGGAATTACAGATGAATCAAGAACGATATTAGGAAGCGAGATATAATCTATCTTAGCTTTATATCGAATGAACCATTCTGTCAATATGTGGGCCCGGTACGCAACAACACAAGGCAACCGTGCCAGCTGTAACTCCACTGCAACTGTTCCCGATGTACATAACGCGACTCTACTAGCCTGCGCATCACATTGAATTATTAATTAAGCAATTGTTTTTCAGTTTTCACAATTAAATTTTACAATCATGCTCATTAGATTTAGAGAAATTACACTGAAAGAATTGTATTTCATGCACGGTGATCCACCTGGCACCAATACGATAGGTACAGGCCAGTCACAAACAGCATTTGTGATGTAATTGTGAACATGCTTATTAGGTGCGACATGAATAACCGCTGTTAAATCCTCTCTGTGACTGAGTAGCTTCATTGTACGTGAAAATATTGGAAGCATGCGTGTAACTTCTTGTAATCGGCTTCCAGGTAGCACAGAAATGATTGTCGATTCTTAAATATGCAAATACACAAAGGATAAATTTCCGGGTAAAATTGAAAATCAAACACTTTTTTCTCATCTGTTTTATCCGTAATGAAATAAATCTCAAGAATAACATTCCAACAGTCCATTAGAAGAAAATAACTACCTGAAGATATCCCATAATTCCTCCTAAATTCCTCTCCATCGCCTTGTACTTTCCACTCGTCTACACATTTGTTAATCTGCAATACAAATTCCACAAAAGTTATACGCTACAATGAACTTTCTTTCATGAATGGAAAAGAATTCCCGGCCAGAAAATTTAGGTACAGCTGGGAACAAAAAGAACAGAACAAAATGTAGTTCGTTTAATTCCATAATATCATGCATTCTATCTAAAGATGACTAAAGTTTATACGTGAGTTTGTTCACCTTTAGCTCCAAAACATCTTCTAAAGTTGGATGGCCCACAAATGTTGCAGCCAATCCATTTGATCTACAGACTTCTGCCTCAAACGGAAGTATACAGAAGACATGATCTACGAATTCCGAAAGACCTTTAAGTCTCGATTCACCTCCTTTCCACGCCCAGAAAGATGGTGCCACATAGTGAAAATGTCGAGGAGTAGTGACTCTGTGCAGGAGACCATATCTAGCTGCAAAAACCATTTTCCCATATTCCTACACCATTTTTTCTTTCTTTGAATCAAGGAAAATATGAAGTATCTTACGAAATCGGAGAAAATTAAAGGAAACTTACCACGCAATTGCTTCAGAAAACGGAACGAAAACCCTTTCGAGTCCACTGTTAGCACAACGTGTGGCTCGAAGGTAAGAGCTGACTCAACTGCCTTTTTCAGCCTGACCTGAAATGTTGCAGTTCAGACCAAATTACAGTCGGTTTTTTCATAGTACCTAGTAAAAGAAAACATTGCAACACTAACCAAAATGTTAAACAAGAAAGAAAAAAAAAATCGAAATTTGATAGATGAAAGTGGAACACAGCTCATATCGCTTGTTCGCTCACCCTTAACGTACTAAGATGCGGCAACAACTCCCATATGCCCATGACCGCAATATCTTCCATAGGAAACAGAGAATTCAACCCTTGATGTGACATCATCAATCTAAAACGAGAGATAGAAATGCACAAATGAGTTTGTCTTTTCTCCACTCCAATATCTGTAATGTACACATTAACAGGAAAAGCGAGAACATATACGACAGGACAGGAAACTAAACTCGATCACCAAAAAAAAGTCTAATCTAAAGCTAGTATACTAAAACTGATATCGAGAAATAGATAGCAAGAAATTGGTGGATAAAATCAAGCATGCTTACCCTCCTACACCTACGAAACGGACAGGAAAAGGAGAAAGCGTTTGCAACGAGTTCATAAAACGCGAAGCGATAATGTCACCAGAAACCTCCCCAGCAACAATAAAGACTCTTAGCTCACCATCTTTTGCAGCTAAATCCCTAACACTTGTTCTTCCTGAAAATGATAGTGACCTTTTCGCTGCTCGCGAGAAGCTCGTATTCATGGCAATCTTCACACTCCACACACTTTTCACAAACATACTTCCGTCTGTGATTCCAAACACACACATACACATACACACAGAGAAGTAAGCGAAACATCACAAACAGCAGAAACAAATTAGTAATTTCGACATAAATCATAATCAATAGTCATCAAACTTGTTCCTTTGCCCAAACTAAATTATTAATAATAATAAAAATGCTTATATTCCGCATTTAAACGGGAACTGAAATAAATACCTGCGGTGATGCAAAAATGGTGCTTTCGTGATTCAAGCGCTCCAAGATATATTGGTCGAAGAAGAACTAATGTTCACGATTACATATACCGCCGCCATTGATTCAACTTCGAAAGCAAATTAAGGTATGGCATTGAACCCTCCATTGTTTCTCTGGGTTTTGCAAACTCTTTCACAACTGTAGAAATGTTTACAGAGACAAATTTTGGTTTTATTTTTTCGTTGTAAATTACGTCCAGCCCCTGAGATAAGCTCAAATTACACAAAAACCCCGTGTGTTTGGATAATTGCAACTACCTCCCTCAACTATGTATCTTACGAAAAAACCCCTCATCGAACAGGTAAATTTGACACCATATAGTTGAGGAGGATGGTTGTAATTATCCAAACATAATTTTTTTATTTTTTTGGTAATTTGACCATACGTCAAAGGGTTGATCGCAATTTGCCCTAATTTGTTTGATAAATATTGTATAAATTGATAACATTGTCCAATTACAAAAAAATAATTATTTCTCACAAAATTACAAAAATTAATAAAAAAGAAGCATGAAAATGAATAAACTTGCCTAATAATAATACATCAATTTAACATCTTATTACACACACAAGAAATAAATCTTCAAACATGTTTTATAAAAAAAACATATATATTATAATTAAATATAGTAATTAAGAAAAGTGAGAATCAAGTTCCATAATGGTGGTGAGATTCATAGGGTTCATGTACTGAAGGGAGCCAGTCATGATTTGGTCAACAATCAATCTGTTAGCCCTTTCAGAAGGATGAAAAGCATCCCAAAATGCATACACATCTCTGTTCGGACACAAATTCGACAGCTGCGTGCAAAGCCCGAGCCCGTTGTACGGGCCTTGCCCGCAACATGCTACCTTAGACGTAGTAAACCCGAAGGCCTGTGGATTTCTGATGAAGTCGTTGTTCATTAGCTGCGTGTTTGCTGCAATGAACACATTGCTGCCTATTTGTGAGTTAAGCCTTAGAAGCATGTCGGTTAGTTGCGGGTCGAAAAGGGATGCGGCTCGTTGGAGTTCGGTCGCGCATTCGCCGTTTCTGCTTCTCATGGCTAGCTCGGCTGGGACACAGCCGAGTGGGCCCGTTCCGGTTACTAGTACTCTTCTGGCTCCCAACCCGTAGAGTCTCTGCGAGTCGGACGGATTGAATCAGAATTAGTATTTTTCTATGAGGGAAAAAATAAGAGTTTTTTCGGGAGTGAAAATTTTAGTTTTGATCTTGATGTGGAAATTTTTGAAAAAAAAAATTGGAAATTGTTTTTTTAAATCAGAATAAATAGTTGTAAAAAAAATAAGAGGATGAATTTGGAAATTCTATAGAAGTGCGAATTGTTGATCGGAATTGGTCCTTTCGTAAAAGAATCATTGTTTTTTGGAGTGAAAAACTAATTCCAGTTCCGTTACAAAGAGAAATCGGAAATCTAATTTCAAAAATTGGAATTAAAAAAACTTGTTCCGTAATCATCAATTTTCGGATCGGAATCGGATTGGAAATCCCAACGTCTTAGTTTAACTACAACATAAAATATACAATAATATTGATATTATAAGTGTAATTTCGGAATATAATTAGAAATTTCCGAAAATATTTTCAGTCATAAATCGGTTCGAAAATTGGAATCTGATATGTATCCAGTTCCATTCCAGAAAATCTGAAAAGTCAGAAATTTTGGAATGAAAAAATATTGTTCTAAAATCTGATATTTTAGGGGTGGAATCGGTGGAATTTGAAAATTCCGCTCCAAATTCCACCCTAGGACATTCCATTCTATGTTGTCTACAATGTGAATCTATCTAACTCCAACACCAATTTACAAACGAGGGAAAGAGAGTGTACCAACAAGATCTTTTGGTACTCGGAGATGAGATAACGGACGTAGTCGGGAATAGCAAATTGTCGGGACCTAGCGGAGAATGGCACCAAATAGTAGTTATTAACAAAATCATTGCCTCCCAATGTAATCAGGACCAAAGATTCCTTTACTAGCCTTTGTGTCTCCGATACTCCAATCAATGCACTCACTCTTTGTTGATATTGTTGGAAGTTTGTCAATTGTTGAGATATTCCTATTATATTCACCTGCATTTCATTTTTATTACCTCCAACACAATTAATACCTAAATATTTTGGTCTACTATTCATTTTCTTGAAAATGTATGGATAAATATCAGGTAAATTCAGATGCAGCCGCAGTCGCAGTCTATAGACACTCGTGATAATTAAGTTATAGGGCAAATTACAGTCATCTTCCTGAGTTAAGATCAATTTACGAAAAAACATTACAATCCAAAAAATGAGGGATTTTTTCGTAATTTGATCTTAGCTGATCGTAATTTGCCTTAAGTTATATTATGACTTACAAACTGCACTCCGGTGTCGTTAAGAATTCCAACACCAGCAGAAGCAAAGTTGGCTCCAACCAAAAGTCTTGGCCCATTTAGTGCTGGATTTAAGTATGGCAATGGCGATTCTCTCCCACCAATGCTCTCACCTAAATAAAAAAATAAATTTAAAGTTAGAATTAGAGTTCGTAAATTATCCAAAAAAAAAAATTGGCGACATTTTCGAAACTTAACTGATAATATCAGCGATGTTAAGGCCATTGGAGAAACGACCCGAGGGCCTATGGTTCGGGGAATCGATACCATAGGGCGGTGCGTCAGCACGGGCGGTGGTGACTAAGTAGTTGTTGTTGCCACTGTCGACGAGTGAATCTCCAAACACGAAAAAGGCTCTAGCTTCGACTCGTGAACCTATAAATAGCGTTGCTAGAAAGAAAGCATATAAAATACTACAAAGAGTAGTATTTGTAGTAGCACTTGATGAGGTTGCCATTTAGAGGGGTTGCATGAAATAATTTTTTCGAACACTCTTTACTTTTCGATACGAAATTGATACTCGATTTGGGTTCGTATATATAAAGGTAAGTGAGTGTGTTATACATATTTGGAGCAACTTGATTTAGGTATAGCTAAATATGGTTGTAAAGGGTAAAAAGGACCACACAAAAAAAAAAAAAAGTAATACGGCAAAGCAAGTGTGAAATGTAGTTCAATTTGTATTCAATTTTAGACAGTTGTTTGGCAGGGTGGATTGATTTAATGATCATGAGTACAAAATTAATCTGGCCAAGTTAAAATTAGGATAAACGTATTTCTTATACTATAGTCGTTCGTAGTTTTGTCATCGATTCAATATGAAAACAAAACTACGAGTGACAAAATCACAAAATATTGTCACTTAATATAAACATTTGATGACGATTTCCGATATTATTACGACAGGAGTGGCATAATTGATACTATCTCTTCGTTGTAGTGTTTGCATATCTATACGTATATAAGGAAAATATATGAGGCAGAAAGCCACGTGAGCAACATAAATGAAGCTCAACAACATCCAACTGTACACAAAAGTATTCTGCAAAACTGGGAGTTATTTAATAGGCATGATCCTCAACAGTTAACTAAATGTTGCAATGTTTAAAAAAAAGTTGAATCACATTTTTTCTGCTTTTTGGGTGGTGTGTCGACATTGATGTTCGATGGAGGCATGAAACATATAACGGCAGTCACATTTTGTCAAAAAAATCGATCAAAATTGAACTTTGACGATAACATGAGATAAGGACCGGCAACAATTACAATTTGCCCCTCAAAGAGTGAAATAGCTAATTCTTCTATTTATAGCCTATCTATTCCAGCCTGGTCGGGATGCCATAAACCGGCTTTAGGGAGCATTACGATATAGAATATCAGTAATCTATCCTGATTGAAATAAAAATTCTATCGCACCAACTACATTTACAACTAGAAAGTCGGAACACGATCTTCCTTACTTGGGAAGTGAATTTTTGACCAAAGAGGTTTACTCAATGCGCGGTAGTAAAAAGCTGAAACCCGAATTCTCACCAATTTGAGAAGGAGGTTCAACATCAGCAATGTCTATCTGTTCCATTGACTTTGATATTTCGTCAACCGAAAACGGTATACTGCAACGACCCAATAAAATAGATCAGAGTGCAAAACGGAAGCATCAGAGAGAAAAATATTCTCCATTTTTGCGTAAATTTTAAATTATTTGTTTTTTTCAACAACATAATTTCATTTCTCCTATCCATAAATAGGACTTATGCTCTAGTTTTTTCGGAAGTATAACAGTAGAATAAGCCAACAAAAAATAGTTGATATTTGGTGCTAACCTGGAGTCGTCATCCAACAGAAAGGAATTGCTTACTGCGTTATTTGAATCTTCAGTCATCAACACCCTCATTTTGGATATAACCTGAATGAAATATAATAACAACGGTTAACATTACCAAAGATGCCCTTTTTACTTGGAATTTATCTCTTTCTGACGAAGATGACTCAAACCTAGTTTTCTGTAACGGAATGCATATAAACTTACATCAGAAGAGACACTATGTGTGCCATACTTATCATCCCAATACATCGTACTAATCCGGTACAACTGCTGAATGCTCAGTACCTATTCAACAGAAAGAAATAGGTTAGCAGGATAGCAGGCTAAATATAATTCTTTTAAGATTTTTCTATTTGGAAATTTGACTCACAGGGCAGAGGTCATGACTTATTTCATCCAATGTTTTCTTCGGTTTTTGGTGGATAACCTGGATTAAAAGAATCTTCATAAGGTAACAGAAATGACCAACCTAATATGTTCGTAAAGAAGGAAAGGTTACCAGAAACCCAATGGCTTGTCTAATATGCTTGAGCTCATCCCAAGCTGAACCTGCATACTGCAATATTCCTGAGTACTTTAGTCTAACAGAATTTTGCTGAACTGAAAAACAAATAAAAGAAACTTGGAGTACCTCGTCAGTTGCAACGCCACACCAATTTTCTAGTTCAGCTAGTCCAGCTTTAACATATTCCCCATTACTAAACGAGCAGCATTCTCGTCTTAATAGAAGGCTGCAGCCAAGAAAAGTTTACTTAACATTACTAGGAATACAAACTGCAAAAGATTCAGAGAAAAAATGGAATAAAATTTAACGAACCTGTTAAATAATTGGACATTGATGAAAGAAAATATCTGCGTGAACACTTTGCGTACTAAGAAAGGGGGTACCTGACAGGACATGAGCAATAGTTGCATGTAAGATTAACCGAAGCAGATAATCTTGACACTAAGGAGACATCACAGAAGTCATAACAAACAAGATACTCGTGAATGAACGAAAAATCCTGGAAATAAGTTTTTAATAGATATCCACGGTTTGCAGGAAGTAGATCACAGGGAGGAAGAAAAATAAGAAACATAGGTTCTGTTTTACTAACATTATTAGCTTTCAAAGTGTCCAAGAAAATCCCAAGGCTCTTTACAATTCCCTGCCAGTGAGCAATCAAAGCTTGCTGGCCTGCTGTATTTGCAACTGAACGAGATGATCCCTTAACTAAGCTTGCTCTAGAAGTTCTTGGTGCCTATTAAAAAATATACATAAGTTAAGACATGTAATCAGAAAGATTTTTTGGTTTCACAAAAAAAAGTGGCACCTGATAAAAATGTACATGATCACTAGATACCTGAATACACAGACCAAGCAATGGAGATATTTCCTTCTTTAAATTATCTCGTATCATTCCATAGATTTTCTCAACGTACGCCGTAAGTTGCTGCTTGAACAGCAAAGCAGGGTATTTGGCTTCTACTTGGCGTAAGGTCTCTACTCCACCACCAGGCATGCCATTCCCAAATGAAAGATTCACTCCTTGTGGAGTTCCTCGGAAGCTCTAACACAAGAGTAATTATAAACAGAATTCAAGAAAAAGGGCGAAAAAAATTCCCGATGGAAAAGATTTAGTGTGTAAATTGAACTTTTTTTCACTGTGTCATTGAAAAGGATTAATACGAAAAAATATTTTACATGTGACATCCTGCCAAATAAAGTAGCTGAGGACGAGCGACGACGTAGAGGAGCCATTCCAGCTGCACCACTTGCTTTCAGGGTACGCTGGAGGAGCAACAGTAGTGTGGAAGCATTTGACAACCAATACGCCAACATATCATTGTTATCCTGAATTTTCTATAGATGGACAAGTTGAAAAGTTGAGTATTCCAGTAAATATGAAAAGAATAGTTGATAAATGTTTGTGCATAACATACCTCAATAGCATGCCCTATAGTTTGAATGATTCGGTCAAAGACACTTGTTCTCTCAACTTCAAATGATCTCCACTGCAAAAGACATTTATATATAATACAGGCTGCTATCGGCCTGTTGCCAGAAAAGCCCAAGGGCTGTGAAATACAACGAATGAGCAATTCCTGATTTTCCTGTTGTTTCTCATTAAGTGATTTCTGAGGCTTGTCATCAACTTCAGAAAAGGATGAGCTGTGTAGATCCTAATCCAATTGAGGTACATGGAAACAAAAACGATCCTTAAAAAAAAGTAGCATTCAAAAGAAAAATATTAGTTAAGGAAAACTTATTACCACGTGCATCTTGGTATCCGTAAACGAATGGCCACTGTCATTTCTCTGCTATTTGTAAATGCCATGAACTTTCATAAGATATCCCATAAAATAAAATAAAAATTGATGACTCATAAGGTAGTCATGAGATTACCTGCATGATAGATCTAGAACGTCCAGAAAGAAACTTATTTGGTGCAATTGACACAGCTTGTTGACGAAGAACTTTGTTCTCCGACTCTAAATTATTCAGCTTCTCTTCTAGCCTGTAGAGATGTAAAAGTTCATTTATTTCATCAGATGGAACAGGAAAAGATCAGACAGTCTGAAATATAAATCTCTGTTAACTGATTGTTAATTCCGATATCAATGAGCTCCTATCCTTTTAATGCACCCTAGCCCTAGGTTCCTTATCTGGCTACCTTAGCAGAATAAGAGATGCAGATTAGTGAATAGATAATCTAGTCCGCGCAACTGTTATACAGATTAAAAAGCAGTTCTGGAAATTGTGACCACTTTAAACCAGCTCAATGATATTAATCAACTAAAATGGGTCATGTTTCAGAACTAATTTATCACTAGGAGAGTTGATAACCAGTCTCGTCTATCAGTTAGTGGTTCAAACTTACTGCCGCTCTGATTGTCCTCTGTAACATGGTTTAGATTTTTCTGGAAAGGACCGCAAAATTTCTTTGTAAAAAGCATTAAGCCGCCGAGTTATCGTGTTTTTCATACTGCCATTTAAACTTTTTTTCCCCACACTGTCCTCTTTAAGTATATACAATTTACACTAAGAGATTTAGATCACAACATTTGAGAAAATTCCCACTGATATTGGTTCACATATAAGGCACAAGTTCTTATTAATGTTTCCTTTTAATCATTTCTAAGGATGGGAGAAATGGTGAAATATCAAGCATCATAAGGTCATATCACCAATTTTGCATGCCTATTGACCTGGAATCGACCAACAAAACTTAAAATCCCGTGCCTAACATACAACCGAATATGATGATCTACATGGGCCAACTATTAATCCTATAAACATTGGCAAAAGAAAAAAGTCTTGATGGTAAACTGTCACGAGAGTTCAGATAGTAAACTACTTCTCCCCCTATTTCATTTATGAGTTTGATTAATGACGGATTTTTCATCTTTAAGATAGTGGGTAGGTATAATGACACTAACACAAAACCGAAATTTTTTTGTTCTCAAATAGACCAAAAATAAGTAGAAAATACTCCTGTTATCGTATTTTATTACCTGTGCAAAGATTCCTGTAGCTGATGAACTTTTTTTTCTGTCTCCTCTAATTTTTCACGTCTCTCTTCAATACATTCCTGTGCCTCAGCAAATTTCTTTCGCAAGTCTTCAGAAATTTCCTGCTCATTTTGTAGAGAAGCCTAGACAGAGAATTGTTTAGTTGAGAATGTTAGAGTCAATAGGCGAAGAAGCACAATTACCAAAATCATGTTCTTGTCTGATTCTTAAGACACAGTAACTCAAATAGAAATAATTCCCATTCTGTAAATAAACCTTGGATTAGGTTCACTCAAAGATCCATCAATAAGAATGGTGATATTGAGTTTTTATGTGAATTCTGACCTAACAAGACACTCACTGCTAATTGGTTTAAGTGTGGATGCTCGAACAAGGACATCGGCTAGTGTTGACTACAGATTTGTTTGTCTATCTGTAGCTAAGCAATATCTTCTCCTCATTTTCACAGTTATTCCAGTTGATTAATTTTATTCATGCATCCTGGTGTAAAGGTCACCAAAATTAGTGCATGTGCCTACTGGAAATGAGTACTCTTCAGCAAATTTATTTTCATAATTGCAAAATAAAAATGACTGTCGTATTCTTCGTCATAGCATAATTAAATTGAAAATGATTTTTGACTCACATACACCACTACCCCCAGAGGACGACTTTGCTAAAACCTGTAAGATATCATGATAACATCGTGCAACAGAACATAAACATTATTTAAATGACCATAATTTAACAGACTTTGGCATGAAAAGATGTTAGAACAACCGTAATTACTTAGAAACACGGCGTAAGAGAAAGAAGCCTCATTATATGAACAAGAGGTAACCTGCAATATTTTCCTTCGACAATGAACATATTAACTGTAAACAAATACAACCAGAGTAAAAAATGAAGCCACACATTAAGTATGACTCCTAACTTTATGACTGAAGCTATTGGATGATGTTCAGTTTTCTTATTGCAAGGCCGCTAATTAGTTGTTCCATGATTTTTTATCACTACAAAATCAATCGTTTTAGTAACCTGGTTCCTCTTTTCCCTAACAAGAATCGCAAAAGATTGTTCTACTTTCATCACACTTTATAATATCAAGTTAAAAAATGGAACAATATCAAGTTAAGCAATTTATTTTATATGATTGTAAAACCTTGTTCTGATATTAAGTACCATTACCTTTAAACCGTCAATTTCAACCGCTAGAGACTCAACTTTCTTGGTATCTTCAACATAAACTGGAGTTTCTTGGATAAGAGGAGGTGCTTCTTCAATTGCTTTTTTTGCAGCTTCACGTTCCTTAACAAGCTGTGCATTTGTTTCATCAACTTTTTTCTGCATGTCCTCCATCAAATTCTGCAACTTTGTTATCTCTTGAGTTTTTGTTTCTTCCAAGTCAGTCTGCATTTATGATTAATTGACATGACAAAAGCAACATAATCATTTCATTTTCATATCACAAACAAACAAACCCAGCTATGCAATTCAATATTGTACGAACAAAAATTAAATATTTTCCAGTTAGACCTTCGGAACAAATTACTTATATTTCAAGAATATTATATACCCTTAAACGTTTTTCAAGCTGCAAGCGCCATGTGAGTTCCTCTAGCTGTTTTTCAAGCTTATCTTTAGCCTCTTTGAGTGCACCTGTTTCCCTAGCAGCCTGCAGAGGCATATAGTCAAGTGTTATATACTGGCAAGCCATGATATATCATAATACTGAAAGCTTATAGTTCATATGAATTTCAAATAAGCTAGATATTAAGCTATTAACTCAATTAACTTCTGATAACAATGGGCACAAATTCCAAGAGTATCATTTTTTTCTCCCAATAAATTGAAAGGAAAAACTATCTCAATCGGGATTTTGAAGTTCTGAATTAAAAAAATCCAATTTAATATGAAGACAGCTTGAATAATATATATATATATATATATATATATATATATATATATATATATATATATATATATATATATATATATATATATATATATATATGAATGAGTAAACCATAAAGAATTAGAACTTCCAAAATGATATGGTACTGAAACCAACCATCTTAAGCTTCCGCAATTCACTTTTCGCAATTCTTCCTCTTAATCTGCATTGGGCAAGTATTGTTCCTTTCTTTAGCTTCCTATAGTAAGACGAAGCTCTATGACAGCGCCACCGTGCCTAATAGAGGTTAACAGTAAGTGGACCACATCATGAAATATAACATAATTTATTCTGGCATCAAGTATTAGCAACCAGTTACCTGAATAATGGTTGCGGCTTTAGTTTGCCTCCTAAATCTAAATTTGTTACAGGCGTCCATGGTGCGTAAACCTGTTTGAATAACAAGAACAGATATCCGGAGTGTGGTGTATGCTTTTCTTGCTTGGAATCTTAATGTGTTCCGCTGGACTTTTATTGCTGCTGCTTTCCTTTTCACGGTTGCGTAAATTTTGCACGCTAGTCTACCTAAAATGTACAAATGCAAAAGATACCAAAGAAAGGTGGAGTCAAGACTAGGATATGTGCCCAGGTGGCAATACCAAAACATCAAAGGTATACCTCAATGGGTTTAACAGAATTTAACAGAATTCTTAGAATAAGGAACATATTTAAGAATCTCAATGGGTTTTAAGTGGCTCACTTCTGCAAAAAGATTGCATATAAATGGTAGCCTCTCTGACATCTATAAAATGTTTACGAGCAATATGAGTTCTTGTGCGCCGTTGTATAATTTTCGCTGCACTACTAAGAACTTCTGCTCTATGTGCGTCCAGTTCAGCCATCTGGCCAGCTCTTAGGAAGACCTTTGTTTTGCCTACCTGTAAGGTCATCAAACATCATTTTGATTTGCATTAAAAAACTTGATCCATTTTGTGATAATAAGATATCATAGCACAAGCACAACTTCTACTACCCGGATCCCTTATGCAAGCAAAGGAAAAACAAATCCTTATATACCTGGAAACCTTTTATCCCCTTCTTTTCCAAAATCTTATTGCACGCCAACTTTTCATCATAACTGCTCATGAGAAAGGCCTTTATCATTAAAATATGACTCTTTGACCATAAAAAGGCGGACAGTAAAGCAATAATAATCCGACCAGAACATAGAACAATCATAATTTCATCAAGCAAAGCCGAATCACAATGGATTAGCTCTGGCTAAGCAAGGGATCGGGTAAAGATGAAAGCATGATTTCAGTTCAAAAAAGTAGGTACTTACTGTCCTTCCAAAACCTCGGGTGCAAGAAGCCCAAATCTGTTTATGAATTCAAAGAACGGGCGGCGAGTAGGATATCCTGCACAGCTGATCCTGATTGCCTCCAAAACACCCTGAATCAATAGGTTGCGACCAATAAATAAGTGTGCCTAAATCAATCAACCTCCACCGCCAAGGATAAATAAAATTCAAACTACTTGGATGCAAAAAATTGGCAAAAGGAGATCTATAATAGTAGAGATGAGAAGAACTTACACCACAGCGTAGCTGCTGCATAATGTTCTGATTTTCAAAAATAGCAGGTTTGAGAAGATTATTTGGCTTTACACATCTGATATAATGAGGTTCTGTAGCATTTAGAGTTTCCATCAATTGTTGTAGTTGCAGCTGCATGATAAGATTGTAAGTGCAAACATCTTGTTTAGTATGTGTCAATTGTCCAGAGCATAAACACAATAAAACTATATCATAAGTTAATATATACTCCCTCCTCATTTTAATTGTCGTTTTAGGCTAATTCACACATATTAAGAAAATTAATAAATGTGCATGAATTTCAGAAAAATCATAATAAAATGACTAAAAACCTACTTTCATAAATGTTTTACCATTAAATCTCTTAAGAGTAGTAAGGGTATAATTGAGAAATACACAATAAATAATTCATTGGAATCCTAAAGTGACAATTATTTTGAAATAAAAAAAAATTCTCTAGAAAGACAAATAAAATGGGAAGGAGGGAGTAGTTTTTTTGTCTTTTGGCATGTTACTATGTTCTAAATTTATATCTCAGATATAGAAATTTACAGAATAAAATCCTAACAGGAATGGAAGTTCAGGCTCACTAACCTTGAATCGTGAACCAATGGAAGAAAACTTGGAAGATTTTGTGGTCTCTTCAGCTATTGGAGGAAAAAGGCCTGCTACAAAAGGGCATCCAGAAGCACCTAACAAATCTTGATATTCAGGAACCACATAATCTTTATTTTTGTCCAAGAACTGGTCAGATTGGTATTGAACCTGAAAATAACTGAATGTAAGATTTAAGAACTTGATGCTTGACAGAAACATAAGGTGTGCATATGTATTTTAACATTACCTCCCCAGCGTAATGTGCAACAGTAAAATCTGTACGGGATAATTTTGGCTTGACAAAGCGCTTGTTATTCTTGAATGTTTGGTAGAGCTTATTGGAGAATGTCTCATGTGTTGATTTTGGAAACATACTGCAGGTAGAAAGCCATAAGATTGGAGGAAAAAATGGTACGAGTAATGCAACAAATGAACAAGAAAATAATGAAATAATCGTCTGATTAAATAACAAGCAAATTTTTGTAACAGGGATATCCTTGTGTAATGGTAAGTGCGAAAAGGAAACGGTAGAAAAGTTGAGGAGCACTACCATGCTTCATCAAGGAGAGCAATAATTCCACCTGGTTTCTGCAAATGCAGACATATAAATTGTAAACCATCACAAACTCCCAAAAAATGACATAATTGTATAGATATGATGTAACTAGAAATTTTTCATCCAGCTCAATCCTCATGAAGGGAAAAAAATGTAGTTGAATAAGATGAAACACCATAAAGAGACCTGCTTATTGGTAAAGTTACAGTTTTCAAGTCACATATCATTATAGATAAAATCAATTCTAATAAGATTAAGACCATGTCTTCTGGAAAGAACAACTACTTTGTAGCATTTAGCAATTAGTTAAGGAGAAATGAGTAATAGTCTGAGCAGTCCAAAATTCCAATATCTTGTGTTACTATAACATGAAGAAGTACCTTCTCAATGAGATCCAGAACATCTTGGTTATCAACAAACTCAATGTAGCTCCAATTAATTGCCTCCTTTGTGTATTCTTCTTGTTCCATTTTAAAAACATGCTGCAATTGAATATGGAAACTTAAAAACATGCTGCAAGTAAACATGGAAACTTAGCAAGCTTATAACTAGCTTATACCTACACAGACATGAGACATCTCGATATGAAAACTACCTGATTAAAATGTTGTTGAAGCTTCTCATTTGTAAAGTTGATGCAGAACTGCTCAAAACTGCATAATATGATATGCTATAATTAGCATTTCACACCCTTTGAAACACACCTTTGTTGGGTTATTTTGGGAGTACAACACGAGGGCATTGGTGGTAAATCAAATATACTTATTGTTACCTGTTGTGTTTAAAGCTTTCAAAACCATAAATGTCAAGGACCCCAATCAGACATTTTGATTTATGATCTTGCCCAATTGACTTATTGATCTTATCAACCAACCTGTATATATACCAAAAACAGCAAGGGAAAAAGTTGAGCATTTAGTTAAATAGTCAGAGAACTATAAAATCTATCCGGTAACACAAAGCTGCAAAGATGAATACCAATCAAACAGCCTAGAATATAGTGTCTTAGCTAACCCATCCCTGCTAACTGCTGCACTAAGAGGATCGAGACTTCTTTTAATAACTTCTTCAGGGGTGATCATCACACGTTTACACAACGCATCTTCCAACGCCACAGGATCACACCTAAGACAAGCAATAGTAAGAATTCTCGACAAGCCATAAGGAAGTATGTGAAGATATACTTTGGACTATATGTCAGAAGCTTATATACATTAGAAGTTCTGCAGTTGTGTTTAGATGGAACTTGGATTTGTCATCTTTTGGAATAGATGAATCAATTTCCTTTCCCTTTCCAAAATCAATATTTCCAAGATGAAGAATAGCAGCAACGACCCTGAATATTGCTTCCTGAGAGAGAAAATGGATTAATAGGTCCCTGCAAAATAGATTTAGCGCATATTTATGGGCCTAAAGAGGACATACCTGCTCTGTTTTACTAATTCCAACAATATCCATTGCTCGTCTAGTGGCAAGGTAATCATGGGCATCACTTATGCCAACAAGCTCATGGCATTTTGATTGGTTAAGATAGTGAAATGATTTGGGATGACCTAACTTGTACTTGTCAATTTCCTGGAAGAGGAAGGAATGTAAGTGCAAGGTAAAATTGTAGCTGAACAATTAAAGAGGAAAAATTGGCGAACGAATTTGCAGTAACCACACGACTAATATACCTCTTTTGGTGCGGCACATAAAAGGTAAAAGCAGTGATAGTTGCGCTCAGGATCAGAAACTTGGCAAACACGAGATCTTTCAAGAAGGTATGTTCTAATAGCAGCTCCTGATATTCTCCCTTGCTTGTCAAACTGAATCTCAACAAATTTACCAAAACGGCTGCAGTATTACAATACATAGGATAAGATTGGTGTTAAAGATCAGCTGAGATTTTATAATTCGATGTAATCACTCGCTTAGTTCATATAACTAAGCAAATAATTGAGTTTTCTCAAGACAGTGGGGTTTCTTGACATATAGATACAGAAAAGGACCGTCATATTCAGCAGAAATTGGGTATTCATCATTGCGATGAAAAGTGAAAACAGATATCGCGGCTTAACTGCAAAAGTGTTAAAGGCTTCACCTGGAATTATTATTTCGAACAGTTTTGGCATTGCCAAATGCTTCAAGGACAGGGTTGGACTGCATTAAAAATAGTTCAAAACCTCCGTTAACTAATCATATAACTATAAAACCAAAGCAACAAAATGCAACACTGTAGAATTGACTATTAGGAGAACTAGGTTATCATGCATCATACTTCAAGAACTTGTTGTTCAACTGTGCGTCCTTCTGTAGCTGCACGGCCTCCTAGAAAAGCTAGGTACTGCATAAGCATTTTTGTGGTCTCAGTTTTACCAGCTCCACTTTCGCCACTAACCAGAATAGAGTTGCTCTTTCCTTCATTTATCATGGCCCTATTTCAGGAGAAATCAATATTGAGATAAAGTTATTGAAACACGTTTCCATTTCATTGTATTATAAATTGGCCAAAATATGATAGCTTTAACCTGTACGCAACATCAGCAACTGCAAAGACATGAGGGCTTAGCTCTCCCAAAGGAGCTCCCCTGTACTGTTGCATCATATGCTGATGGTATAGATGAGGCAGCTTTTGAAACGGATTTATAGCTATCAGAATATTTCCAGTGTAAGTCTGTAACACACAAACAGCAAACATGTATGCTCATAACTAGACCACAATAAAATAAATTAAGAATTAGTATCAAAAGAACAAATGAAGAACCATACATAAATTTCATTGAGTTCATATCTAAGTTTCAAATTCTCCAGCACTCCAGGCTCATGCAGATAAGACAACTTTGTCATATCATCAACACCTCCAGCAGGAGCTTCCGTGTCTTTAGGATAAAGTTTTGATAACTTGGTAACAACCTGAAATATATGAGGAGAATCATTATCAGGTTATAGTATTGAACTTGAATAGTTTGAATAACATCATTATCGGGGAAAACACATTTAATCCTGAAACTGAACCACATAAACAAAGCTTTATTCAGCAAATTTTGTAAAAGTTATATAGCAAACTGCATTTGCAGATATGGTTGGGTCGGATGGGAACTACACACAGCAGACATAACAAGAGATACTTGAACATAGTTTTGCATAAGTCTCCCAAGAAGCCATATCCTAGATGGCAACCCTGACAGTCCTCTTGGGGCCTCTAAAACCTAAAATTGTAATTGACATCCAAATCCTTAGGAAAAAGAATATGATGAAAAATGCAGAGAAAGAGAAGTTTTTCTAATGGGGATAGGAAAGTCATGCAACGAGTGGTGCAGATAAAAAATTCCTCTTGAATCACTGTATCATTACCAACACCCAACACATAAAAGAACATATAGTATCTAATAAAACTGACACCATATCTGTAAAAGATACCTTCTTCCCATCATTCCTCTCGATCTCAACTTCTTGACCATTAATTTTGGTAACCTGCCCATGAATCCAAGCCAGTGCAGGGTCCTCAACCCAGACATGAGATCCAGCAATTATGTTCACCGGAGTACCCTGTACGAGTAGAATAACAAGGTGATTTAAAACATAATGATAAAAGTTTGCAATTTCACCAGAGACATTTTAAGTGCAAGTAAACAGATTAGAATAGACTACACGATCAGCCAGGGCATGACTCTATTTAACATGTGTGTATGTCCAGAATCACTATCATGAGCTGGTACAGTATCGTTATTTTGATGCATATCATATATTATTAACTATTTACTATTATGATGAGATATGGTAAAGTGTATGGCTGTGATGCACAGCTTCCTATGATCTAGTTCATCTATTTATCACTCCGCGTCTCTTCAAATATACTTAATTGCTGCGTTGACAAGAAATTGATCCAATTTAAATTTTGCATATGCTAACAATTCAATGTGGATAAATTAGTCTTTTTCAAGGCTCAAAGAAGTCAACAAGAGTTTATACATGAATGTTGACTTCCAGCAATGAGGAGAGAAGCTCTACTAGCAACTTTGACTTATAGATGTGTTCTGAAGGACAGTACAATGGAGAAAGAAATATCACCAACCAAAGGAATCAGAGCCAGAACTCACATAGGCTTCATTAAGAGGAGAATAACCAATTAGGGAACGAAGTTAAATGTTTTCGGAAGAAAAGGCAAGGTTGCGGACTCTGAGTTACAGAACCAACCAACAAGCCATCATAACATCTGCAATTCTAGAATATTCTGCACTAGTCTGCACTTCATGGCTTCAAACAAACAAACACTTCGCCGTAACTGAAATTGTATCTTTCTACCACACAATATTTTGGAAAATTAGGTTTGTTTTAAGCATAGAATCGTGTTATCCTCTCTCATCAGCACCTAGTTAATCCTCATTACATTTTATCAGAGCCCTGAAGTATACCATCTAAAAACTTCTTCTAGTGACTAGCAGTAAGACCGCTAAGAGTCCGCACTGCAAGGTTTCAAATTCAAGACCAGCAGTGAATTTGAATGTAGTATATGATCCATGTTTCCACAAAGTTTTGCCTTGCGCGTTAATCTACATTGTCATGAATACTCATTCAAACATATTTTTTTTACTTCTGCAGTAGTTCTTCAATATAAGACTTTCATACTAGCATCATCCTCAGGTAGGATAATCCATCTATTTAGTGATCCAAAAAAAAAAAACTACAAGTACATTCAGGAAACGAAAAAACATCAAAAAGAAGATCTATATTACTTGGTTTTCACAAAATTACATAAGATTAATGAATTCGGCAGAATCTGCCATTTCCGGAATTCAAATTATACAAAAACTTTAGCTGATAGTGATACATAGATCAAGTTTCAGACGATCCTAATCCATTAAACACTTTTGATTTTCCGAAGCTCAACTAAATTTAATATATAAAAATAAAAAAAAATAAAAATAAAAAAAAATAAAAAAATAAGAAAAAACAGAGCAAATGACCCTACTATACTCCACAATTATCATCCCAAACAGCATGCAAGCCCTAATAGAAATACCCAACCGCTTCAGTATAATATACAGTTTTCATAATGAAATTTCACAAATCGACATTATGTATATTTCAGGGGAAAAGAATCACAAAATCGAATCAAGTGTGAGGTGGCGTACCATCTTCTAAATCTCAAATTTTCAATTCCAGGTAGCGATTAGTGCCCTTTCTGATCTGATATCACAAACCAGAGATCCACGCATGCATCCATGCACTCGAGTGGAAGAACTGACCGGAAAATTTCCAGCTCTTTGGTGAAACTCGTCGGAAAATCGGGTCGTAAATTGGTAAACCGCGGCCGCATACAAGAGCGAGAGTAATAATTTCTCCGATCGCTTCTGAAATTTCTGTTTGTTTTGAGTTTTCTCTCTCTCTACCAAAATAGGCATTGCATGGCATCGTCCCTGTAACTTCGGATCCATTCTCTGTCACTCTTTTCTTCTCTCTCTCTCTCTCTACGAATTTTCGGGAATTCGTGGCTGCAAAAACACTCTCTCTCCCCAATTTTCCCCTTTTCTCCTCTGTTCTTTATTTTTCGTTTGGAAATTGTTAATTCAAAGAAGCCAAACTATAGTGTATATATGGTATTTGCCCTAATTCCTCTTTCTATATACTCATGAAATTGGATTCAATTATCGTATGTATTTTATTTCCAAAATTATTAAACATTACTCACACATATTTCTTTCCGAATATTGTATTAGATATCAACACACCTCTTTCTATAATTAATAAACATATTCAAATATATTTCCTTACCAAAAAAATTCAAAATAACTCAAATTTAATCTAAGTAGATTTAGCTAGTAAATCCCTTTTGATTAGTTTTATATACCAGACAGTCCTCGATATGTTACTTTGAACATTGAACTTTCGATCTCTCCTATATAAGTTTTGTTTACAATTAGCTATAACCCATGTGAAATGTCTGGAATGTCAAATGTCACATTTTTTAGCAAGTCTTCGTTTCTTGTTACCGACACATACAATCTTTTACACGGGGCTAGATTATGAGAAAACTACGAATCTTGATATGTTACGTTGCTCCACACTTTTCTGCTAATACAATATCAAGAAGCTTCTTCAGAATCTAATTATTCTTGATTGCAATGACAAAGAGGTGAAGATTCTGATACCGACAACATTCTAACACTTCAACCAATGGTTATTAACTATCACCACCTACGCCAATTTTTTCATAGATGAGGAAGAGAGTTAAAATGGTAGCAATGTAGATGGACGGAGCTACGGTGCACGAAAATGTAGCAGAGGTCAAGTAAGACTTTTTTTTTCGAATCTTAATCGTAACTTTGTTAAGACGAGGAATAAATGATGTTTGGTTACTGATGATGCTAATTACTTAGATCACCTGTAGTAGGGTAGTAAATGAGCTAGGAGAGCAAAGCGGATCAGTAGCTTGGCAACTTGATGATCCTGAGGTCCATGCGAAATGAACACGCGTGAACTAAGCCGGGGGTTGATCCGGCGGAAACCCCTCCGACGCTAAAATCAGATATACGGATTGTGGAGATGGTAGAGAAATATGCACTCTAGAATATTTTTCAATAATAGAACGTACCTTAACATATGAGTAAAAACCTCTATTTATATGTCGTTGATTGGGTTGGGTTAACTTTGTTGGGCCCAAACCTTATATTAAAAGTGTTTGGGCTTTCGTGTAGTGGACCAAATTATTAAATAAATTAAGGGTCCATTGGATCGACCCAATTATGTATATCAGTTACGTATATATACACTAACGTATCTAAATTGTTATATTAATAATCAACATCAACCAATCTTTCAAAAAGTGTCATATAATATTTGTTTTTTTCAGCCCTAAACTAGAAGACTATAAAATGGTGCACGCCCAAACATGGTTGTTTGGATCTCCATTAAGTATTTTTTTATGTATACTTGTTGTACCTTGGATACTGCTAATTAATAATAAGTATTTATCTATTTTGTCGCAAACGTTGTCGTTTCATTTTTTAATTTTTATTTTTTTAAATATTTTGTTTGCTAATGATTTTTAAATATATCGACAATTGACAACACATTAACACTTCGATTTGCGGTATTACCAGACCAAGATCAAATTATATCCTTCTCCGTGGGCAAATTTGATGCAACCAATATTTGAAATTTTTTAGCATCTTTTATTTTATAGAGATTCGTGTTTCGATTATAAATATAAAGATGGGAATAAATAAGTATATTGGAAAATCGATTATTTAATTTAAATACTAGAAAATTAATGCCTGAAAAATTGTACACAATCTAGTACTTCTTATGTGTTGTTTCTTTCTTTTTTTAGCAATTAACGAAACCGTAACTAACCATATATGTGCATTGAACAAATTTTCATTATTGTATAATAGCTTGCAAATTTAACAAGAAACGTAAATTTTCAATTGATTTTTTTTAAACACTTACTATTGAATTCGAGACAACGATTATAACCAAAATGAAGAGAGACAAAACAAGAAAATATACATACATATGATATATAATATCACATCATTAGTACTTAATTACCAAAATTAAAACATCAACCACTACATCATCATACATTACATTAATACAAGTCCATCACTAGTAACACAACTCTTAACAATTCAAACCAAAAAACACCCAAACTCCCTAGTTAATACATAACCTAAGTTCGAACGTCTTTTTTAAAATTAAAAAAAAAAATCAAAATCGACAAGTTGACGAGGCATACCTTTTAATTTCCATCTTCGGCACTTTTCAAATAGAGGTTTTCACCCCCATGATGGTCGCTTCCGCCCCCCCTCCCTTCATTACCGCCAAGATCAGACGACTGCTTATTGTTACCGCCACGGATGAAGTCGGGATATCCACCGAGCCCGTGGGACTCACCATGCAGCATGGACCCACCGCCGCCGCTTCCGCCAGCTGGGCCCATGCTGAGCTGGCCGTGCAAGGCCTGCTGTTGAAGAGAAGGGTAAGGCTGCGAACCGTACAGCATGGAGGAACGAGCGGCCATAAGAGATTGCGACGTCATCTGCTGCTGCTGCTGCTGTTGGCCTTGCTGGTGGTGATGCTGCTGCTGCTGCATGTAATGTGGGCCCGCCTGCAACATTCCTCCCCCGCCGCCTCCGCCACCTGAATACTGCAACACAAAAAATCACGATACTGTTACATAGACGAAAACAAACGCATTTCTTATTATCGACATTTAATATTATTACGCAAGTAATATGTATATATACATACCTGAGAATGCATGGTGGGAGGTTGAGGCTGTGAATCAGCAATGGCGGCAAGGTACATCAGGTTTCTCTGTAGTCTAGCTTGGTTCCTGACAATATTAATACAAAAATCATAAAACTACATATATGGTATTTGAAGAACTATTATTTTCTTTCGATAATTCAACGACAAATAATGCATAATTAGTAGCAGTATAACTAAACCCGTCAATTCTACTCGACTCGGCTGATCTAATTTGAAAGCTTCATAGCGTAATCGGTTAAGCTAACACTAAACTAAACTGAACTAACACAAAGAAGTAATAGAAAATTGTAATGATTGGTTACCGAAAGATGCATCGGACAAACAATCTCTCATTGTCCGAAAATACACAACATAGGGAACTCACATAGGCAATAAATTTAAATGAAAGAGACTACTACTACTAGACTGGTAAGTGTGAACTTATTACATAGAATCCAAAAAGGACTTACTCGGCGCATTCGCTCAATTTTCCGGAGTTTTGGCTCTCCACAATCTTCAGAATAAGTGATTTGTTTTCATCAAGATACTGCAAACAAATACACAAATAATCATTCAAGAATTAGCAAATCAGCACTACTAATTTGGGACCTCTCTCACATCTCTATAAAAACCAGTTAGATACTTCACCACAGACCTCATCTGGAATTATCATTAGGGTGATATATATATATATATATATATATATATATATATATATATATATATATATATATATATATATATATATATATATGACATGAGTTATACAAGATCAACAAGTGATGTTATTTGTGCATATATGAAAAGAATACAACTCCCAAGAACTTGCAAGAACTCATCAAGAAAATAAAAACAAATGGATCAAACTGAAACCAAAAGGTTGGTTCATGTGATATATATAAATGAATAAATATATTACATAAATATATTGGCAGACTCAAAGACTGTGCAATCTGGTGTGGGGATCAAACTAATCCGAATAAATATAAATAATATATTTTACTATACATAAGTCTAGTATAATAGGTAGAATAGGAAAACAAACCCCACCAAGATCACAACTTTGAACACTGCATACAGAAAGTTTCTGAAGGAATCTTATAAACAAATCAAATTAACAAACTATAACCACAGAAGAAAAACACATAAACAAATCACTATGTAAAAGTTTGTTCATAAAGAACATCTATACTCCAAAACATTAGGGCTAAAGATATTCTTGCAACCCCCCACCAACCCAAAACCCCATTAAAAAAAAGGGGGGTGAAAAGGTAGGATCTTTCAGACAAAAAGGGGGGACCCCTTTCATGTAAAACCCTACAAATCAAGAAAAGCTCACATACAATACAATACAACCATAAACATAAAGGAAATTAGGGTTTATATATATGTGCTATCCATATCAAGATTATTTCTGGAGAATAAAAAGTTGGCAGGAATGCCAAAACAGAAATGAAAAGAAAGAAAGACACAGTCTTGCTCAGGCTGAGAAGACAGAGAAAGATTGGCACAGTTAGAGAGAGAAAGAAGGAGAGAGACAGAGAGAGATTGATGAAGAAGGAGAAGAAGAGAGCTGTGAAAAATAAGTAAAAACCTGTTGAATATGATCAGTAGTGACGTTGCTGGGATAGTAGGCTGCCATCATGGGCTGCATCTGCATCAGGTGCTGCTGCATGCCTCTCTCTCTCTCTCTTTCTCTCTCTTTTATAGTCTTCACTCACTCAAACTAAACACCCCACCACACACACACACACACACACAGTGAACCCACCTTCCCTTTCTCTCTCTCTCTCTCTCTCTCTCTCTATCTCTCTCTATCTATCTGTGTATCTATATATGTATATATATACTAATAACTACAATCTCTTTCTCTTTCTTCCCCACACCCTCGTCTGTAAGTTTGACTGTGATAAGTATGTGTCAAAGAAGAAAGCACTGCAAAAGAAATGGCCCCCCTTCTGTATTTGGGTTTATCCGTTTCCCCCCCTCACAATACACAATACACCCCCTTCTTATAACTTGGAGTTCAGTGAGAGGTGTGTTTGTTGTACATATACAAACCCCTTTCATATGCATGTGAATATTTAAAATGTGTTTATTTTTTTGGTTCTGAAGTTTTATTTAAAAAGCAGAAAAAAAATAAAATAAAAAAGAAAGAAAGAAAACCCTTGTTCTCTGGTGTCGCTGTCAGTGTGTGTGTGTGGAGTGTGTGAGAGAGAAAAAAGAATCTGCAAAGGACAGAGAAAGAGAAAGAGGAGAGGGAGAGAGAGAGAGAGGGGGGAGGGACCGAGACAGCTGCTGTATTATTGAGAGAGGGGGTTTTACTTTGGGGTTTGGTCTGCTGGCGTGGCTCTCTCTCTCTGTGTATTTTTTTTTTAATTAATAATAGTAATAATAGTAATAAAAGATGGTCACGTGATGGATGATGATAGAGACTCGATGAGAGAGAAACTAGTCACGTACCCGCCCTTTGGAACACTAGTTTGTTCACTAGCTACTATTTTTTCAAAATTCATTTCTCCTTTTTTTTTTCTTAATTTAAATTTTAATTTAAATGATTTTTGAGTGAGGTGGCTAAACTAATGGTGGCTATTGCCTATACTATACTATACTGGGGGTTTAGGCTAGGATATTAGTTTGACTTTCTGACCGTTGCTTATACTCTCATTTCAATTTTTTTTTTTTTTTTCATGATTTTATCTTTTTATTATGTTTTAGACTTTTAGTTGATGTCAAATGAGTGAAGTGGTTTGGAATATAATCAAATATAATGAAACCTATTAGTAAAAAATAATAAATTTATTGATACAAATAAATCATAATGCATAGGACTTATAGTTTTATAGTGCATTAAACACACACAAATACCCACATCATTCGATAGCCGCTCGTACTCGTACCACCCCTGCCAAACCCACTCTAATATAACGAAACTATTATAAAATTCCAAATCTTCACCTCCAATTGATTATTTCACTACAATATATATATACATATACATATATATATATTATTTCTAAATCAGAATCTTATAAAATGCTATACCGTCTAAAATATAGAGTATAACTATGTAACTTCATATTATTATTATTAACTGCTGTATAAATTTAAAATGTTATTAGTGAATTATTAATTTTGAATATAAATAAATAAGCGAGGAAAAGACAAGAGCCCATCGGTTATTGAGCCGCCCCCACCTCGGTCCGAACACCAACCGATTGGTCACTTACTTCTCCCATGACGTCATTCGCCTTTTAGATCTTCGAGGAATTCTTATCAGATCTCTCACGCGCGTTTGGCCTGAGTTCCGCACACATTTGGTCTTTACCAGACATAGAAGTGATTGCACGCGCTGTATTCAACGTGGGCATTACATCTGGCTTCTCCGTCCCGGAGTCCAAAGCGATGGGGGAGGGCATTTGTTCCTGTGCATTACGGTATACCAGAAGATCTCTTCAGTATACATTGTGTGCGATCATGATTCTCTTTTTCTTTTTAATATTAAAAAATTAAGAGTTCTGAAAATGAAAATAATAGATTATTTATTATGAGGTAAGAAAATATTAGAATGTTTATTCCAATTGAGAACATCAATTATCAAATCAAATCATTTTAGTCGATTATGCTAATGAATCATCAAACACACCTAATTAATGTTAGCGATTTGAATGAACTCATTCAAACTTCGTCTAACATTCGTCTAAGACGTTCCAATGCTGAATGTACCATTAAGATCTTCATTAGCCAATCTTTTCAACCAACGAAAACCCTCCAATCAGCATTCTGAATGTACCATTAAGATCGTCATTAACCAATATTTTCAACCAATGAAAACCACATGATCATCGAAGCTATCAGAAATTTTAAATTTTACAGCAGTCGCGACTCCCAGAAACTGCGCGCCTCGTCTGAAGGGACATAATTCTGATTTGAATAACAACCTCAAGTTAATCTACACCTACCTTAAGTTTAAGAGGCTGTTAATATATCATTAGGAGTCTATTTATAGAGTTAACAAATCAAAGAAATTGTTGGAATCTTATGTGATGTGAAATAGTCTAAATTGACATTTGACACACATGTTTGTACATAATACATAAATGTAAAACTAATTAGTATTACTATTTCACATTCATCTCCAATTCTAACCATTAGGATCAAGAAAACATTCTAATAATCATCCTCAATTATTTGATTAAGTTTATACAATTTTTACATTTGACGAAACAATTGGAAGAAACAAATGCAAGGGCCTACCTAATTTCCACCTAGGGTTGGTCCTAATCAATTGATCTCATTTTGATTGAGCCCATATGAAAGGCCCACACATTTAACTAGCGGTGCAGAATTCGCCTAAACATTCATACCCTCATACCCCACTGTACAAGCTTTTCTGTCCAAACAATTACATTTTCAAATATATATATATATATATATATATATATATATATATATATATATATATATATATATATATATATATAATGATTGTTTCAATATATATAAATATTTAAAAAGAAAAATATATTGAACTGCTAAAAAAGAAAAAATCGGAGAAGCTGAAGCCGACAGCGCTAGACTTCATATACATCTGCCCGTGTAATTAAAAAAATATAATCTTGGGTTTTAGACTCTAAATAATATTATCATACATTTGCAGCCACAATTAAAAAAAAAAATAATAATAATAATAATAATAATAAATATCCGACATATATAGATATATCACATGTAGAAATAGATATAGGCCCTCCACACATATATAACATAAAAAGCTGAAGGGAATCATATAATTGGGAAGCAAAAGCTACTCCTCTGGTCAAAGGGTAAGAACATGCTTTTGCATGGTGGTTGGGTGGTATACGTACACTATGTTCTACATGCTTCCTTTTCCTGATAGCAACCCTTTGTCTGCACATACATACACACACACACACACATTCATGTGTGTAAGTGTGTGCCTGCATTTTACATCTCTATATATGCAGTTTGCATAACTATTTACCAGGGTTGAGTTGGCAAACATACATCAGCTTAGATCTCTTTCAATTATATATCATCAGCTCTTTTTTTTTTTTGGTTGCTTCTGGCTAATAGATTTTTATGACAAGTACTTATGGTAATGTGATTGGGGGAATATTCCTTTTCACTGGGCATATAGTGATATCGAGGGTCGGCGAAATCTTATGTGGTTTCCGGCACAGTAGCCCTAAGATTTTTTTCGAGGTATTCGATAAATTAACATATAAAAAAATATATATTTGTAGACTTCAATTAAAATAAATCAATCGAGCTAAATAAGTTCGGGTGGACGCGGCCTACCTTAGGTATAGGGGCTCCACCTATGCATGTATATTATTGGTAAAATTTAATACTATGGTTAGATATTCTTGAACACATATTTCATATTATATAATATATATATAATATTAAACAAAAAATAAAAAAATAATAACAGCTAAGAACCTGGTTGATATGTGACAAAGTTCACATGTTGAGGAGGAGATGTTGCAGTTGATGTGATATCGAACACATTTGTTGTTTTCTCCGGTACACAAGAATATTCAACATAAATAATTTTTCATGCGACACCAAACTATTAACGCCTAAGAATCAAATAAATTCGAAACACATTGGGTTCTCATGATTAAGGTTGGATCAAGTCTTTGCAACTATCAGGTCACACACAATTTAGGCGACTAATGAATAATTAAATTTTACGGATATACTATACACCACAAGCATATGATATTAGCCATTACTTCAAGTATTTTTCATGTAACGAATTTTCAGAGATATTTACCCGTCAAAAGACTCAAAACTACGAAACATGCCAAAGTACGCCTTGCAAAATCCCGTTCAGTCTAACACACATAATCAAGATATATCTTAAAGAGTAAATACATACCTTTTTTCTGCTCTTCTCTTCCTCTATTTTTCATTGTCTTGTTTCCTTGTATGTTGTCCCATTCGGCATCTCTTTTTTCATATTCCTTTTTGTCTGTTCACATTGCAATGAACATATGAACTCAAAACACATCCAACAGTGACGCAATATTTCGCTTTTATAAACGAGAAATGACAGAATTGAGAAGGTTTCGAGAAAGTTCAGTTATTCGAACAAACCTAACATTTTCGGAAAACGCTTCCCATAAAACTCAAAACACATCCAACAGTGACGCAATATTACGCTTTTAAACGAGAAATGTCTGAATTCAGATGGTTTCGAGCAAGTTTAGTTATTTGAACAAAACTAACATGTTGAGAGAAAGCCTCCCGTTATATGAACTCAAAACACATCCAACACTCAGTGACCAACATTTCGCTTATTAACGAGAAATGTTCGAATTCAGAAGGTTTCGAGCAAATTCAGCTATTCGAACAACCCTAACATGTTGAGAAAACGATTCTCATTCTATAAACTCAAAACACATCCAACAGTGACGCAATACTTCGCTTTTAAACGAGAAATACCCGAATTCAGAAGGTTTCAAGCAAATTTAGTTATTCGAACAAACCTAACATGTTGAGAAAACGCTTCCCATTCATCTATGCTCCTCAGATATATTAATGGTGATTACAGTTAATCTGCATTATTAACTTGAAACTGCAACATACACATCCACATCCACCAAAACCCTAAAATTAACTACTGCAAAAAAAAATTGTCCAATCACAATTCAACGTAATTTCAGGCATGGGAATCTGGCGAACACATTTTCTCTTTCATCAGGTTTCAAGGAAGTAGCAAGTAGTGTTTAAATTGAGGCAAAACGAACAATTACAGCTTTCAAGGAAT